AAAGGGGACCCTTCTTAACCCTATACTTTTGGCACTCTGAGACGGGACCTTGGTTGCGAGGGTCTATATCCCCAAGGGTCCCCCCCAATCCTAGCTGCTATAAGGTCCTAATGAGGATGCGGTCGCCTTGAGTTTAGGACTCCCACTCTTCGATTGCTCACCCTAAGGGTCCATGTACCCGAGTATATATACTTTGGCCTTAAAGTACCTGTAGTCTCCATTGTAGTTCCTTTTTGAGGTTTACCTTTTTGGATCCTTAACCTAGGTATACTACTATTAATGATTTACCATCCTGCATTACCCTGACGACCCTAAACTACGGGAATCATGGTTTATTCCTTATTATGGGCAACCCTAAACCCTAAAGCCTAAAACCCTAAAGCCCTAAACCCTAAACCCTAATCCCTAATCCCTAAACTTATAAACCTTATTTTGGGTAGTGCAGGGTTTCTATCATCAGCCGTAGTTGGGGTACATGGACCCTTCGGGACTGAGGGCTTCGGGAAGAGTTCGCAGCTCGAGATTCCCAACAACCCGAACCGAAGAACCTTAGGGTTTAGGGTTTAGGGAAGTCCAGATCCTGAACCCTTATGGGTTTTAGGGTTAACGGTTAGGGTGTAGGGTTTAGGAGGTTAGGCTTCAGGGTTTAGGGTTGGGATTATGGGTTTAGGGTTAAGGAATTTAGGGTTTCGGAGGTTAGGATTTAGGGTTTAGGAGGTTAGGATTTAGGGTTAAGGGCTAGGGTTTAGGGTTTAGGGTTTAGGAGATTAGGATTTAGGGTTTAGGGCTTTTGGGTTTAGGAGGTTTGGGCTTTAGGGTTTTGGGTTTAGGAGATTAGAGTTTAGGAGGTTAGGGTTTTAGGGTTTAGGGTTTAGGAGTTTAGGGTCTAGAATCTCGGGTTTGGGGTGTTCATGGGGTTTAGAGTGCAGGGTTTAAACCCACAGCTTTAAACAATTAGACCGTTGACCCATGGGCCTTCCACAGCCAGCAAACCCTAATCCACGGAGCCCACTCTTAACCCTCCAAGCCTCAGCTCTCCAACTTCCAGGACAAGCGATTTAGGGTTTAGGCTTGAGGGTTGAGGGTTCAGGGTTCAGGGTTTAGGGTTTAGGGTTTAGGGTTCAGATCCTAAGCCCATAAACCTTTGAGCAGCAATCCCGAAATTCATAAGTTGAGAGCCTTTTAGCCCCAACACCTGAGGACAGGAAGCAACGACATCGACTACAGAGTCCCGTGCAGAACACTTCTCGACACCAGACCCTGTGCCCTAAACCCTAAACCCTCCCTTCAAGGAGCCCTCATAAAACCCTAAACCCTAAACCCTAAACGTCATAGATCCCTTAAGGGAGCCCTGACTCCAAGGCCCTTAACCTGAAACCCTCAGTCTCCTCTGGAACCTTCCAGAAATCCACAAAGGAACCCTTAAGGGACCCCTTTGCAGGACCCTAAACCCTAAATTCCTAAACTCTAAATTCCCAAACTCCTAAACCCTACACCCTAAACCTAAACCCTAAATTCCTAAACTCCTAAACCCTAAACGCATAAACTCGTATAACCCTAAACCTAAACCCTAAGTTATAAGTTCTGAAACTCCCAAACTCCTAAACCTACAAAAAGCTGCGGAGGCGTGGGACGGTTGGACTTTGACGTCCTAGCCTTCGCCGAGCTGCCAGGGATCAAGGGCCACATGCTCGAGGCTTCCTTTTAGGGTCTGTGGGTTTCCCAATAAGGGTTTAGGGTTTAGGGTTCAGGGTTTAGGGCCTTTTAGGGTTTGTGTAGGGTGTGGGGCTTACGGTTTAGGCCCAAAGGGTCCAAAGTACCTGTATGGTTAGAATGTAGGGTCTCTAGATTAGGAATCCTTATTATGATTTGGGAAAGTATCCCCCATAACACTACCTAGGACCCTTTCGGAGGGTTTGTCCTGACAAGGGTTTAGAGCTTAGGGCACGGGTTTGAGGGTTTACCCTTAGGGTCCATGTGCCCAATAGGAAATACTGTGGCCCCAAAATATTTAGCAGGGACCATGCCCAAAACCCTAACGCCCCCCCCCCACCCCCCCCCCTAAACCCTAAACCGCATACGATCTGCGCAAACAAGGCTTAATAATTACCTATACTATTTTGGGGGTTCCTCATTTTATCTATAGTATAATATACCCCAAAACCCTATTCTAAGTGTTAGGGCCCCTACATTACGTGGAGCCTTTGGGGTTAGGGTTGTCGGATGTTTTAGGGAGCAGGGAATTTTGAGAGCCAAAGGACCCAGGAAATTGGGGGTTTGAGGCTGAGGGGCCTCGTATGAAGACTCTCTAGGTTTCTCCTTTGTTCAGGTTTAGGGTTTAAGAGTTTAGGAATTTAGGGTTGTAGGAGTTTAAAGGTTTTTGGGGTTTAGGGGTTAGGGTTTAGTGTGTTATTGGGACATGGTTATTGGTTATTGGGTACATGAGCACTAGGACCCCAAGAGGTTAAAGGCTTTGCGCTGAGGGTCTTGAGGGTTCAGGGTTCAGGGTTTGGGTTTGGGGTTTAGGGTTTGAGGGTTTAGGCGTGGTTCAGGATTTAGGATTTAGGGTGTTGGGTTTTAGGGTTTTAGGGTTTAGGCGTGGTTCAGGATTTGGGGTTTAGGGGTTAGTTTTTTTAGGGTTTTGGATTTAGGCTTGCTTTAGGATTTAGGGTTCCTTTCTACAGCTTGTCAAGCCTTTAGGGCACTTTGCTCGAGCAACCATTGACCCCTTTGTCCTTAGCCCGGAATCCTGCTGAAACCACTGACACCCGGAGCATACTGTGTAGATGGTTGAAGGTTTAGTTTAGGGTTTGATATGATAGGGGCCTAAATAAATACCAATATGACTCCTAGAGCTCCTTATTATAATGCTACTATAAAAAACATTAGGCATCTAGCGCTTCTTTGATTGAGGAGGGCGAGAAATGCTGAGGAATGTTCGCTAAAGCGCAAGGCTAACCCCCCGTGTAGCTATAATATTCCCAAAACTCTATTCAATGTTTCAAGGCCACCCACCGCAAAGCTGCAGGTCCTTTTCCAGAAGGCGGCACAGCATCACAATCTGCTTGAGAAGTTGGAGGATCAGTCGGCTGTGAAGGAGGCCCCATGCCGTTTAGGGTACTGAATTTTCAGGTTTAGGCCTTCGCGGCGAGGTTTCAGCCAGGAGTTGGCAACTTTACTGCTCGTCGGTGCCTGCTTAGTTGCGTCGTCCTATCGGCTTACGATTGCCTTGTACGGTACAATATATATTTATAGGCCATATAGGTACAGATATGTAACATATTATGTATTTATGTGTTCGTTTATGTATATATACACATACATACATACATACATACATACATACATACATACATACATCTATCTATCTATCTATCTATCTATCTATCTACCTATATGTTATTGGTTTACGCAAGTGTGTCTGCGTGTGTGTGTATGCATAATAAGGATAATAACAATAACAATAATAATGATAATAATAATACTAATAATAACAATATGTATATATAGACAGATAGATAGATAGATAGATAGATAGATAGATAGACAGATAGACAGATAGACAGATAGACAGATAGACAGATAGACAGATAGACAGATAGATAGATGATACACGTATGTGCAGTGTCCTTTCCTCAGATGCAAAACCTAAACCTCTCAGCCTCTAAACTCTAAACCCCAAACCCCTACACCCCAAACCCTAAACCTTAAACCCCTAAACCCCTACACCCTAAACTCTAAAGCCCTACACCCTAAACCCTAAACCCTAAACCCCTACACCCTGCACCCTAAAGTCCAACCAGTTCCTGGCTGCAGCTCTTCGGCTCGAAATAGGCGCCAACCCAGCCTAAATTGCTTAGTACGAGACCCCGAAACACCAGTTAAGGGTTTAGGGTTTAGGATTTAGGGACGTGCGTTTAGGGTTGGGGTTTAGGCAGTAGTAGCCCACAACGCCCGAGCCCTCGCTGCTTTTGTTACATTAACGATCCATGTACCTCTCTGTATGTATAGTATACATATATATATATATATACATACATACATCTATATATATATATATGTATGTATGTATGTATGTATTCGTGTGTGTGTGTGTGCGCGGATATGTATTTGTATATGCATATGAAAATACATATGCATATGCACGGATGTATGTATACATGTGTATATATATAAATATACACATGTACATGTTTATGTGTATATATATATATTCACATGCATCTGTGTGTGTATATACACACACGCATGATGTGTGCTTGCATGTCTATTGCCTTTATGTAAAACTGCATATATATCTATATATATATATGCATGTGTATGTATGTATGTATGTATGGACGGATGGATTGATGGATGGATGGATGTACATAAAGCATCTCTAGTTGATACATATATAAACAAAACGTATAGTAAACAAAGATTTGCTTTCCCAGAGACGAAACAGCCAAGGGACAGGAACACATATTTGGGATCAGGTGGCTGACTTGAACAGGACACAACCTAGGTACCGGGGTACCGTATCTGTATGTGTATATATATATATACATATATATCGCTGTGCGTGTGTATACATGTACATAAACATATTTGAACAACTTGGGAAGCCCAATAAATCTATACTATGGTAAGCCATGGTACTAACATCTTCTGCTCGCCCCTGTTGGAATTCTATCAAGAAAAGCCCAAAACCCTAATTATTTCAGGTATGAAGGCCCCTTCGTTACCTTAGACGAGATGAGGCGTCAGAAGAACCAGTAGAGGAACCTTAGGTGTTACATCCTTTGGCCTTTCGCTTCGGGTGGTTTGCTTTTATTTGCGGTCCTCATAGCACAGTCCCTGAGGGTCCATGTACCCAAATAGTATATCCTTTGGCCTCAAAGTACCTACAAATAAGGACTACTTTAAGGCCAAAGTACATACTATTTGGGTACATGGACCCTTAAACCCTAAACTCTGATAGTACCCCTATGTAAACTCATACAGGAACCCTTATAGTAGTACCCTTAAAGGAACCGTTAGGGAATCCTTTGCAACTGGCCAGGGGCTTCTTTTCCGAAGCCGGCTGCCGAAATTCCTGCGCACCATTGAGGACAACGTGCTTCTTTGGCTTCACGGGTTTAGGGTTTGGGGTTTAGGGCTGAGGGTTTAGAGTTTAGGGCTTTGGCTTTGGGGCTTAGTTTTGATATTGGAGTGTAAAGTTTGAAGGATAGGGTTTGGAATTTCATGCTTGGGGTTTTAGCCACTGACGGTTAAGGGTGTACGACTTAGGCCCAGAAGCGCAGTTACCAATGCATTATTGTTTTGTTTGCGGTTTGTAGGGTTTAGGGCACTCATACTGTAACCCCTAAAGCCCAGTTACCTAGAACGTGAGTTAATGCTGCCGGCAGCCTTACAGAGACCTATCAATAGTCCCAGCATGTAGGTTGCCGCGACCTTGTGGTATGCACGGTACTGTCGGGAATTAGGGTTTCTTGGTGCGCTTTATTGCAGGCAAAGCCATTTGGCGTGTGTATTGGATGACGGAGCCGTTTAGGAGATGCAGATATCAAAACCGCCGGAAGATGGAGGTATCATCTTAGGCCCCGTCCTCACCGTGGTGTTGGACTGGACTGGCCCTGCAGTCTCAGTTGCATCGTGATACTGCAAGTCCAGGCGGCAGAAGATTAGGGTTTAGGGTTAGAGTGCGGAGTTCTGGGTTGCAGCACATATACTTTGTGGATGCATCTCTGTGGAATATGCCTATGTCAGATTAGGGTTTAGGGTTAGAGTGCGGAGTTCTGGGTTGCAGCACATATACTTTGTGGATGCATCACTGTGGAATATGCCT